GAGAGCTAGACTCAAGTCAGTTTATGAGCGGGAGCCATATGACTGGATCCAAACATGAGTTTTCTCATTTCTACTTTGAGAATAATGTGTCTTTTGGAAGAGGAGTAATGTTAGATCGACACCCATGACACCGTCCGCCTCGTGCTCCACTAAGTTAATGTCAAGCTCGTCAAATAATTTGAAGACTTTTGTTAGGGGTAAAACTAAAAGGGCAATTTAGTCATTTGTTAGTTATTATTATGAGGTATAAATATGGCTTAATATGTTTAGAGTTAGTTTATGAATGCTATTGTTGCTGGAGTCTTAGGAGTTAATGTTGGGGAGAGATTTCCTACCTATCGAATTATCAGTATTTAAATTTTATATATTTCAGATTATATTATTTTAGTTTTGTATCAACAAAATATAATTATTCTTTCCACCCTAATCGTTACAGAAACTTGTCTTGTTCCTATCATATACATTTATGTAAATTAGTGAAAGATTTTGTAGAATGATTGATATATAAAATTTATATTGTTGAGTTCTTAATGATCTTGTTTTAAAGGTAAGTTTAAAAAGAATGGAAGAACTAAAGAAAAAGTTAATATAAGTATATATTTTTTAATTATAATATTGTAATTATAAGCTAAACATCGTGTTTAATTGTAAATTAAGTCAAGTTTGAAGAGTAGAAGCAAGGTTAAATGATAGTAAATTCAATAAATTCAATTATAGGCTAGCTTTATAAATTGAAACTGAGGTCAGTAATTATTTTTCTAATAGTATTAAATTTTTTTATTTTTAAAATGCATTCATGGTTTAAAAAATTAAACCATGATGGTATAGATTAATTATGTAAATGCTTAATGTTTTATAAATGTTTCATATACTGTATTTGCACTGAAGATTTAACAAGTATTTCAGTGATTGAAAGAAATTAAAGAAAAACTAGCTAAAGTAATTGGACAAGTCCATCGCATGGGTCATTCTTATATGGTACTAGCTGGGGATGTTAGGATATTTGTGCACAAAAATGAAAATAAAAAAAAAAACTTGAAAAATGAAATTGAAATGGATGTATTATCAATTGGTATAATCTTTTTAAATGATACTCTGATGATTTTTTAAATGGTTCTAATCTAAGAAAATGAAAATAATTGAAAGTTTTAAATAAATAAAATTTTGATGTCATGTTAGAGCATATAGATAGAAGTTTAGTACACAAGAGAACCACAATTATTCATGTAGTTGTTATAATTTAACATGTTCTTTAAATTTTTCTTTCAGGGAAAATATTTTTAAATTAAATTGCTGATAGGAGAGATTATGTTTATAGAGGAAGATGAATCCGGGAAAATAGATATCAAAATATTATTTTATTTTATATTAAGTTTATTTGTTAAAATTATTATTGCTACTAGATATTTTTACTGTTTGACTTGATTGATGTATTAAAAATTGTATGCTTTAGCGACTCTTTACAATTTGGATGATTTTTATGAATTGTTGTAAATGTTATACTGGTACAACTCTACCAACAAATTATTCATTCGTTTTGGAAAATTCAAGCTCTTGGGTCATATCACACAACTATGAAGCATAAATTTGATAGATAGCTGGACAACTGGACTTAACAAGGGACAAGGTAAAGATTGAGAAATAAAATACGAATACGACAAAATATGCCGACTAGATTGATAAATACTCTGCTGTCTACTAATGTAGTGTGGACTTGCTTGGATAGTCTTACCGTTTATTAAAGAAGCTTGGACAATATACCAGGGTGATATGGCAAGTTTTGAGAAATAGGCTATTAATAACTGAAAAAACATATATACCGTTCACTTTTTTGGTCGTACATGGATAAAACAATCTATGGACTCGTTGTACAATCAAAATGATTGTAATCTAAAGACTGTTTATATCTAGGTAATAGTGCAAGGGAAGATCAATGATTCTATATTTATATATTGGAGCATAAATATTGAACAGTGTTGAGAAAAAAGACATGAATGAATACCTCAAAATACAATGAATAGGTTTATATAGCTTGATCTCTTTTCTGGTCATTCATGAATAAAAATATAAAATAACTCAATTGACAAGAAGATTACTGATGCTCTAGAGAATGTTGATCTTTAGCTAGTGCAAGTGAAGATGGATGATTTTAGATTTACATATTGGAACATAAAAGCTGGACAACATTTTCAATTGAGTTATTTTACATTTTTTTAAGCATGGACAATGAAACGAACATTGACATGACAGTCACTAGGACACAACATAATTATAGAAGTCATGATCTTTTTTGGGCAAACTAGTATGATAAAATATATTATCAAAAACTTAATCGCAATATTTTTCCATAAAAAAGTATTACATGAACAAAATATAATGTCATAGCTCGATAAATCGAAGAAAAAACAAACATTGATTTAATTGTAATTATCAAGTATATGTAACCATCGGCAACATTATTCCAATATTAGCACTAATTATTATACGTGCTTTTGTTGATATTAGCATTACATTATGGAGATTAAATTCCAAAAATACAAAGAAGAGTTTATAATTAAAACAACCACACAAAATATGAACATATTGGTTATTACTTATTAAGCCCAATGCATTTGACACATTTATCGTCGCCATCGGCACCACTTTTATCTTGGCATGCACTTTCACCAGCTCAAGCATCTGACACAGATCATCCAACATGAACCAATGAGTTGTTGGGGGGGGGGGGGGGGGGGGATGGTATTTTTTTAACCTTGGTTGGCGAGCGGAAGAGAGGGGTTCAGGATCCAGCAGAAAACGAGTGCGGGATCGAGAAGGAAGCGTGCTGTGCTGGAGATCGAGATCGAGAGTTCTCCTCGCGAGAGCGCTCCGCCGGAGAAAGAAATAGGTCGCGGGCTCAATAGCCGTTACCCGAGAGCTTTGGCGGGGAAATTAATGATTTCCTTTCCTGCAAAGGTTTTAATTGGAAAATAATAATATTCAAATATTTTCAATTAATACGAGTTTTAAATAGTCCGCCCGAATTTTGAAATTTGAAATTCAAAATTCGTGAGCAGGTGCCTAGCCCAAATCGGGCCCGAGTCGGACCTGGGTTGAGCCTAACCTGCGCACCAAAAAAAATGCATCGATTTCCGTGCAGTTCGCGCGAGTGTGGAACCACGGCAATATGGGTGTCTTTTCTAGCTAAAATCGACGTTCCGAACGCGTCGGCGCAGTCCGTTTCGTTATCCGGGGTCGTCCGGACGAGTTTGCCGGCGGGCGAGTCAATTTAAGCCAAAATTGTGTGTGATGCAACGAGTGCGTTGAAGTGCGGCGTTCGCGAGTATTCGAGTCACAAATTGTTCACCTAAGGCTGTTGATCCTATAGGAACTCAATTTCGAGCCCTCTACATGTTGGTCCTTAGCTCTTGCAACTAGAAGTTGAGTGCTTGGAACCACTCATGCGAGTTCTTCACAAAAATGAGTCAAGAAGTGACTTGAAGTTCTATGGGAGGTGGGCTCCATTACTAGTCCGCTAGGATGGTCAACCAGGAACTCCTAAGGCTAGATTATGGGTTCTGGGGGTAGGAGACTAAGACCTCACAAAAATGAGGTCAACACCTGTGCCCTTGCTTTGTTGGACCATGTTCCATCCATATTTGATTTTAATTTTGAAAAAAGAAATAGTACATCAAACATTATTTCCAACATATTGAACACATGTTGGGTGTCAGAGGTGTGCTTGTGTCCGGCTCTGACATGAAAGAATTTTTGAAATGTTAATGCTTCATCTTCCATAGAAGAGGTGGGGTGGAGTGGGAGCTAAGTTCAACATAGGAATCTTTGTAGAAGAGGAAGTTGGTAAAGTTGAAGCTTTTGGTTAACTGTTTTAAGAAGCCGTGACATTTTGGAAATTTGGATCAAAATATGAAAATCAGATATTTACACAAAGACGGTATAGCAAAGCATAAATATATGTTGGCATAAGCCTAATGATGATGTAGACGGCAAGGGTAAGCTTCATTGTGTACTTAATTTAATTTTTGAGGTAACATCCAGCCATAAACCATGTTGCTGTTGGCCTACTCCTAGTTTACATAATTTAAAGATTGGGCCATATTTCTGCAGTTTGGATGAGGGATTATGCTAGAGAACAAATTTGTATTTGATTTAATATGGAATTTATGCTCACCTTGACATTTGTTGTACTATCAGAAGTACTTAACAAGAGAACTAAAATTTGCTTATCCGCCATTATTAGGGGAGAAGGGAGGAGCGCTTCTTTTCAAGCCCAAGTCAACTTACAAATTTAGATTAGGGGCATTTACATACATACCACCCAATTCCTATATATTTGCATATTTAACACAAACGTTTTTGTATACATTTAAACCACTCAAATCTTTCAGATCACATCAAAATTAGCACCATTTTAACTTTTAAGAAGTGAAATACGGTGACATGTATGCAAAAATTAAAGTTTAGATGTTAGATATGAAAATATTTAGGAATTTAGTCGTATGTAAATACATCTTCATGTTAATGCTGTATAGCGAATCAATCAGCTTTGTTTGCTAAATTTTTTTATCCATACAATGTTTTTGAATACATGTTTTCTTTGTCTATATTGCATACTAATACAAAATTAGTTTAATGCCATAGAAGAAAGATTCCATTGCGCATCAATCAACATTGCTTGCTCATTAGTTTGTAAATGCATACAATGTTTTTGAATAAAGTGTCAAAAAATTCCCTTGACTATTTATACGGTGTCATATTAGTCATATTTTATCCAAACTCTTTAAATTGGAGCTGAAATAATCCTTCATGGGGACTATTTTGACTATTTCAGCCCATATTAAAAAATTATAGCCACTAAATTGACAGTTTTATAGACTCTGAGACTAAAATGACCCCATGTAAACCGTCAGGAGATTATTTTGATGCTTTTTTATTTTTGAATGAGTTTTCTTTTGTTTATATTGTGTATCACGTGTGATGTACTAATACAAACTTCTCAGGGAGCATCTACTCTGTATGGACCGCACACACTAAGTGCCTACATTCAGGAGTTCAAGAAATTGGCCGCATCGATCGCCGGCGGCGGCCCTGACATCCCTTCAGGCCCACAGCCTCCTGATCTTCTCAATAAACAAATCAGCTTGCTTTCTCCTGTAATCTTTGATTCAAAACCCATAGGTGTCAACTTTGGAGATGTCAAGTCAGATGTTCCTCCGAACTCAACTTTTACCAAGGGTCATATGGTCACGGCCACGTTTTGGTCTGCTTGTCCTCGAAATGATCTGATGACCGAAGGTACCTTCTCGCTCGTGGAGATCTTGCAGGGTTCTGAAACATGGGTTCCGGCTTATGATGACGATGATTTGTGTCTCCGATTCAAGTGGTCCAGGCCATGGAAGCTCAGCTCTCGCAGCTATGCTACGATAGAGTGGAGGATTCCTGAAACCGCAGTGCCTGGTGTCTACAGAATAAGACATTATGGTGCTGCAAAGAACTTGTTGGGATCGATCACCCATTTCACTGGTGCTTCAACTGCGTTTGTTGTGATATAGCGATGAGCTTGTTGTAAATACTTTAAACATACAAGGCTTCATTTATTCTGGTGTGGGCTTTTGTAGCTAATGAGAACTAGAGCTTTGTTTTGTGTTTGTATTTGAAATTATATCGGATATTGAAGGCTGTATCAGACGTAAAGTTTTATTTGTACAGATTTCCTCTTCAGAAATGCAAGCGCTGTGATTTCCTGATTCTCATGATTGTCCAAAGTTTAAAATTAAATTCCATTTATATTATATTCATGGCTTGAAATTCGTGATTCCTTAAAAACTAGAAAGTACTTGCAAGGTCTTGCAAGTGAATAAATGATATTGGTTCGGTGCAGGTCACTTGCATGTTGGGCTGTAAATGAGTTGAGTTTGAGAGAGTTTAGATTTGGCTCGTGTTCGGATCGTTTGAAATTAACCCTTGTTCAAAATTACTCATGAACATCATTTTCATGTTCGGCTTGATTTGCATATTATTGTCCATGTTTGATGACTCTTTCTATCTTCGCTGTATTTTGATGAATTTCGGGCTAGTTCAAGCGCCGGGGTGCCAAGCTTGGGTGAAGTCCAGGACTTAGCGTCCATTTTTCCTCCCTATATTCCCTCATGCTGACTTCTTATATGTACACCACATATATTACTATAAATATCATGAAAACTTATAAAAAAAAACGAATACTATAGAAAATAAAAGAAATATCACATCACATTTTATTATTTCAAGCCAATGAAACGCCAGGAACCTCAATCCCATGCTGACTTCATATATTATCATAAATATCATGAAAAAATATATATTTTTATTATTTTGATTTAAGAAAATTGTTAAAACAAAAAAAGTTTTTTTATTTATGTCCAGCTTGTTTATAACTTGAGCTTAAAGCATTTATTAATGTTCTACTCGTTAACCAAAGATTCGAACAGGAGAAATGTAACGAGCCCAACCCGAGCTGTTCCCGAACAACTAGTAAACGCCGCCAATTCAAGAAATTCTTCGTCTTGATCTGTAAACTGACGCGATCATAAAACGCTAGACTCTCTCTTACTCGACAGGTTGAAATTCTTACTTCAGGAGATGGAATTCACGTTCTCAGTCGTTATTCCTGTTTCCATTTGTCAGATCTGTGCTAGAAACGAGAGAGTCTGATTTTACTTTTCTGTAGCGGAAGAAGAAAAAAAGCTAGGTTTCAGAGTCTCTGGGGGAAGAAATGTCGGTCCAGGAATATCTTGACAAACACTCGCTAGCTAGAAAGATCGAAGATGCTGTCAATGCGGCAGTGAGAGCCAAGACCACGGATCCCGTGCTATTTATTGTGAGTTTTCACTATCCAATAGTTTCTTTTAACTTTTATTCTTGGTTCAGACGTTGCTAGATTTTATCATGTGCTGATTTTTTTTGCAGTCAAATCATATGAAGAAGGCCGTTCCTTCTGCGATCACAAAGATCAAAGCGAGGCAGATCTTGGATAGTAGGGGTATTCCGACCGTGGAGGTGGATTTGTATACGAACAAAGGAATGTATCGAGCTTCTGCTCCCAGTGGCACGTCTACTGGAATGTGAGTATTATCTGATGGAATAAGCTCTGAAGTTTAAAGCTGATTATCAATTAATGTTAGCATTTCCTTGGTGCTTAAAGTCTGTTGCATTTGTGTAATTGCATGAAAATTCAAGAAAAGTTAAATTACAGCAGTGGATAATGATATGATAGTAGTAATATTTGTATGAATGGTTTTTCTTGGGGACTGTTTAGAAAAATAGGATTTAGTAAATCCGACTAAATCCTGGTTTAGTAAATGCTTGAGCTGTTATATCCTTAAAAAGATCTTGGCATACAAAGATGTTAAATTTGATTAAATCCAGTGAACAAATTGGTAATTATTTTCAAAACTTAGGATTTAATTGAAGGAGAAGAAGAGGCACGGTGAGGAGTGTTAATTTTTTAAATCCGGTTTCCCTTATGACTGATTAAATTAGGGAATTATCATAAAACAATTAGATAATAGAATTATGTGGCTTGAAGAAATTGTATGATAAAATTTAGCATTTATCCTGGAAAAATTTGGCTAAAGCTTACAACCAAGCAATCATTTAGAGGACAGATTAAAGATAGTGTGCTGGCCGCCATAGGAATAATTTGAGGAACAAAATGTTCACATGTATTTCTACATCACAGACTATCAATCAGTCTTTCAAAACTTACATGGAATAGATGTAATATTTTTTGGAGAGCCATATCATAAATTTAGCCTCCATAATTATTCTCAAAGTTGTTGCTCTTATTGCTAAACTCGGTAATAACTTGAAAAAAATAAAAAGAACCTGCTCGTCAGGCATTCCTAACTCAACTTTAGGAGTCACACAAGACTGGTCAGCAGATTGATTTCTTGAGATTTTACTCCTCCTGTTGTTTCATGCTACTGCTTGTTGAAGGTTTTAGGCTATAACTTATTTGAACTTAGCAAGTTAAAATAATCTTATCTTATGCGTGAGAAGATTGCAGATTTTTATCATAACTGTTTGAGATAAACGATTAATTCCGTCTTCTTACAACAAAACTCCGAGGAGTTTTTATATGAATCTTGGTATATGATGAAACTGTTGAAGACTCAAAATTCATTTTGCCTTATCAAGGGTTAGTGGACATCAATTAATTTTGGATAAGTGTGGGGTGATATCTATTGAGGATTGATAAAAAAATAGATTGAGATGTTGAAGGAGGATTTTTGAATCTATGATTAATTGGGATATGCATGTTGAAAGGATGCTGGGTAAGAGAAGCTATCTGTGGGAAAGACCTTTAAAATATTGATTTTATATGAAAATCAGCATAATATTTTTTCATATCCCACATAACAGAAAGGAGTTTAACAGTTTGTACCTTTTAATCAATCTATTTCTTGTTTTAATGAGTTAGTTACTGATTATGATACTTATATTAAGCCTAAAAGGTCTGCTGATTCCTTGTATTTCTGGTTTGGTTAATGGCTTCGTTCCATATGATAATTCTTTTATTATACCATTTAGAAGTCCTAACTTTGTCCAGGTAACCATATGCAGCTTCCTCTTTAATGCTTTGAACTTCATGCTAACAGCCGTTGAGCTGGATGGATAACAATAAGTATTTGTGAATGTTGATGTATGACATTCCATATTATCATTTTTAAAAACACTTTTAGGAAAACTGCATTTATGTGAATCTACAACCTCAGTATGAATGCTATCCTAATTTGCTATCAACATGCTCTTGGATAAGTAAACATAGGAAAATTACACATCACAGAAATTTGAAGAAGATGTTTAAATAGTTTCTATTTTGTGAATATTTTTAACAAAAAAATTTTGAAAAATGTAGTAGGAGATAAGGTGCTTAAGATTAATATATTAAAGGCAATACATTATATGTACTTTAGTAGATGCTAAATTGATAATCTTAATCATTGAAATATATAGTAAATAATCAATAAATATGTTTGATAGTCTTACATTTGAAGATGTTTTAATAATTTCTATTTTGAGAATATTTTTAACATAAAAAATTTGAATAATGTAGTAGGAGATAAGATGCTTACGGTTAATATATTAAAGACAATACATTATATGCACTTTTAGTATATGCTAAATTGATAATCTTAATCATTGAAAGATCTAGTAAATAATTAATAAATATGTTTAATAGTTTGAAATATGAAATTGTTTACATATTTTATATTTTGTTAATCATTTTAACATAAGAATTTTGATAATGTAGTAGGATGTAAGGTGCTTAAGATTATTAGATTAAAGGCAACACATTATATGCACTTTTAGTAGATGCTAAACTACTAAGATTAATCATTGAAAGATCAAGTAATAAATATGCTTGATAGTTTTACATATCTAATCTATTAATATAAAAGAATGAGAATTTGATATTTATAGTGCTAGGTGAAATGGAAAAGTGCTTTAGGACTATTGTCATGAAAAAAATAGAATATATTCAAACTTAAATGTAAGTTTTATTAAATAAGAACAATCAAACAAAATATGCCAAGTAGATCCAAGTGCTAAAGAATGAAAAAAGTCATTGATAGTTGAGTATGATGGAAATGAAACTTGATTTGTATTTGTGGTTTGATTAGAAAAATTGATGACTATATTAAAGAAATGATGAATACAGGCTATCAAAGATAAACTACTGAAAATTATGTAGCTAAGGTGGTTTGTGCATGCATAATTTGGAGCAATATATATACTTTTAAGGCAAATTAAGAGAGCTAATGTGACGTGGGGGCTAGGGTCTGAATCGGCTAAACTGGTTCAACAAGGAGGTTATCGGTCATGCAGAGAGCTTGAACCGACTGACACTACTTAGGGTTGGAGTTGCCGCCTAAGGGGAGCAGTTTCCCCGTTTTAGTTATATTTTATTATAAATATGTTGTTTTCCTGTTCAGTGTTTAGTTTTTTCTGATTTCAGATTCTTATTGTCGGTGTTTCTCCTTTGTTAAGGCTATATCCGAAGACAAGTGGTGCTCGGGCTATATCCTGCTCCGATATGTTGACTACCCCCCCAATCACTATCCTACTTACCCTTCTTGGTTGCCGCCATCTCCCATGCACCCCAACCTTCTTGTTAACCTGCTGCCGAGTTTATTCCAGCCTCCAACTACCTCTAAACCATCCCAACCTCCTTGCTTCTCTGTCGCCATCTCCACTCCTCTGTTAAAGCTACCTCAAAACACCTCCATACCACCTGCTAAGACCTCCTACCCATCTAGCATAACCCCTTTCTACTACCGTCTATTCTCATCCTCCATGTACTGCCGCCACCCTCTACTCCCCCACCCTTGCTCCACTCTCAAATCAACCTGCTCCCCCTTCCAACCTCTCACCATCCCCTTAACACTGTCCACCGACTATCCTGTCTCACCCTAGCCTAAGATTCATGTTTTGTTGTTTTTTATTTTCTGTTCAAGTATTTATTGTAACCCCGTTAATTTGACATAATAAACTCTATTTTCTTATTGACTTTGGGTTAATTTTGATATCAATTGATATCAGAACTAACATAACAGTAGTTATATCTTAGGGTTTCCTAGCATCCGCCGTACCCAAAACATCATAAAAAGTTTTTCTTTTCTACCACCAAATATCGTTTCTACTGCCACAAATCCCAAACCGTAACTATGCCACCAAGGAGATACAGACCCGAGCCTGCTCAGGAAGAGATACAACGAGAGCTCCGTCATCTTCAACAGAGACTTGCGGAGATGGATGATGGAACCTAGGGGAGATTACCCTCGATCATGATATGCAAAGTCGAAGCGGAGAAAGGAACGAGGATTCAAATCTCTTCCGTAGGGACGACCTTAGTGTTGAAGAAGATAAGCCATGACGTTTTGGAATCCAATATCAGTGTTGACATCAATTTTTGGATGTCATAAGTGTAGGGTGTCCTCCTGTGACTGGCAAAAATTTGTTATCGCACCGCGCGTGAAATTAACTCAAATTGGCCCGTTTGTCAGTTATCCAGATGACCTCATCCAGATGACCTCAGACGACAAAACGGACCACATGAGTGTGTCTGAAACGTCGATTTCATATACAAAGAATGTCCACTTCGCTATGGCTCTGCAGGCGGGTCAAAAATGTGTGAATTATTAATTTCGTCAAATAAAAAAAAAGGTTCGAATGACCACGAACGATGAAACAGACCACGGAACGTCTATTCACTTAGGGAGGACGTTTATTTTGTTGTGAGAACATGCTCGGGTGAAAAATACGTGGAAGATAATAATAATATATAATAATATTATTATTATAATAAAAAAAATATGTTTTCCTCCCTTATCTATTGCTCACGTGTGACCCATCCCCCTCTCTCCTTTTATCTCATGACATTAATATATATATATATATATATATA